TATACGGTGGCGCGTCGGTTCCACGGGCGTATCAAACGGTTAAACGTGACTTGTCTGATGTCTAAATTCGTCTGAGAGTTAATGACAATAGTTCTCACAGTCAGGCGACGCAGAATATGTAGTTTACGATGGATTACGTTCAAGCGGTTCCAAAGCGCACCGTACATTTCTCATAGAACGCTTTGCTTCTTCCGTCTCTTCTTCTTTCTTTTCGGTTTACCAGAATGGTCTATTATTGCCAGCTGTTTTTATGAAGGCGGCGACGACGCGATACCAGATTCAGTGACATCCTGCGCTCGCTCTGCGCCGAGCGGCCCGCCGTGGAGCATCGCGGTAGAGGTGACCTGATGATCCAGCGCGGGGTGCCTTTACTTGTATCGTTGGTAAAACAATCAGACTCACATGTACATCATGTGAGCCAGCTACCTCACACAGACGTTGCCACGTAATGGTCTCAAAACCCGCTAAACTAGCGTGTCGCAACGTTACACGGCAATGTCATGCGTACAACAATACATCGGATGACACGATGTCACACTGCCACGTAGATACGACGTCAACCGTCGCGGTGGTGGCGACTTGACCGAGTAGCGTGGAACACTGTCACTGGTTCTTATAACATACACGTCCAGAACGTCATATGCGTAATGTAGTGCAACTACGTCGTATCAATGTAGCTGATGCGACTGAAGCCTCCACACTAAGCACAATACAGCGTATCTGTTTGCCTACTACTTTAGTTTTTATTTTGCTTGTTCAAACAAAACTGAACAAATTGTGTTCTAATGACATCACTCCTTTCAGTACATGGCAAGAAAAAGAGTTAATATTCAACCTTGTTTTTTTGATGCTTACTAATCATAATTATGTTTTTTAGGTGATGAGAAATACAAGACCACTAGACTATGCCGTTGTGTCTACAACTACATGGGATGTGGCGCCCAGCCCATTCAAAGGTGACAGTGGCACACCTCAGTCAAACTCTACCCCTACTAAACATCAGAGGAAGATAATGTCATCTTTGTGTGATGCTACAAAGAAGGAAGTAGGAAGTACACAAGAGACAGTGGAAAGAATCAAGGTATTTGTTTTGTGTGTTCCAATCATTTGATTGTCATGAAGTTTATGTAGTTAGTCAGAATTTCTATCTGATCTCTTTTCTAATTGTTTCAGTGTAAAAGAGAGCACAATAGATTAATCCATTCATCATCGCAACAAAGAATCAAAGCTATAATTGATGCTAATATGAAGGACAGCGGAACTAAAATGACCGTAATAGGTCTATGTGTTCAAACTATTTTTCTTTTTTATTTACTTCTAAGGTTGGATATATATGTTTATGTCTTTTCCTCTCCCTGTTTTTTAGCCTTCCAAGGTTGATGTTGCTGATACAGGTGCCAGCAGTTAAGAAACTCCTGTTATATTAGTCAGTGAGGAAACACCTGCCCAGGCAACGGGGGATATTAGGGCTAACTTGATAGCACAACCTGAACCAGCTGACAGCTCAGATGAAGGACCAAAGGAAACACTGGAAAACTCTGTGCTAAATGAGAACTCACCTCTACCTTTTAATTCCTCTCTACCTAAGAATTCACCAGCAGGTAGTCATCAGATTTTTTCTTTCCTTTCATGTGTGCCAATAGAACTTGTATCATTTATTTACTTTCTAGGATTACTGCCTTGATCTGATAACCGCTATATTCCGCTGGTGTCTAGCTCTGGTCCGGCAATAAGTCGTCCGCAGTCGCAGTGCCAATTTTGTAGTGCTGTAGTGTAATAAATTGATTTATCGATAAGCAAGCGGAATGGCGTTCCCACAGAAAGTAAACCGGGGAATAGCTCACACAGAAAATCACACACAATTGCGCGATATATGAAATGCCTTTGACGTCCGGCTGGACGTCGCCGATAGTAGCACGTTTTTATAGGGTGTAATAACATTTGACGCGAATAGGTCTGAATTCTGTTGAAACTGACTCTTTTTCATGAATACAGTCAGTTCTGAAGTTAATTCACGTTAAAATATGTTATTATGTGTGCTGTGTACCGTAAAGGTTACATCACAAGCATGCATCCAAAGTCGTGTTGAAGGAGGCTATCCAAGTGATCAAAAAATGTGAGTGATGTTATTTGACATCATGGGGGGCATTTCGACATCCTTTTGACCCCATTCTGACGTCAAAATTGACCCCCTTGACGTCCTATGACATCACTCAGACTTGTTCTGTTCACTTGGTATTGCTGTGCATGTTTGTACAGACCAGTTTTGGGAATTTACATTAAGAAACTGTTGCCTTTAAGATAATAGTTCAAAACTATCAAAATTTGTTTTCATTCTCTTGCGTCATATGACAACAATATTTACTGCCAGCCGATATCGTAGTAAGGAGAAGGATTGGATTTGGTTCAATTAACCAGGGCTGGAAAATCGGAATTAAATTATTGGTTTTACTCCTTTTTGTTCGGAACAAAAAGTTTCGTTCTTTCGGTTTCGTTTCGTTCGGAACGGAACAAAACCGACAATTTTTGCAAACAGTTTCATTCGGAACGGAACTAAACCAAAAGAACAAAACTTTCGTTCGGAATTATTCATTTGGCGAGAATAAATTCACTCCTTATTGGCCACGTGATTAGAGGATTAAAACGTTTAGTTCCTAGTCACTTGCCGGCGAACAACAGCAAGAGAGGGAAGAGGGGGGGGGGGCGTCAGTATGACGTCACGGTACTCTACCCCCTCCCCAACACACACGCGCCTGCATGAACGCAGACACACATGCATACACGTGCGAGGCCAGATGCGTGCGTATCGCGTGCGTATCGCGTGCGTGTCACGTGCGTGTCGTGTGGGCGCAGATGCGTACGTAACGTGTGCGTGTCGCGTGCGTGTCGCGTGCGTGTCAATTGCGTGCGCAGATGCGTGCGTGTTGCGTGCGTGCGCAGATCCGTGTGTGTCACGTGCGTGTCGCGTCGTGCATGCGCAGATGCGTGTCACGTGCGTGCGCAGATGCGTGTTGCGTGCGTGTCACGCGCGTGCGCAGATCCGTGCGTGTCACTTGCGTGCGCAGATGCGTGCGTGTTGTGTGCGTGCGTGTCACGCGCGTGCACACATGCACGCACACGCACACAGATACTCGCGCGCACACGCACAAACACAAAAGCACGTAGAAGCCTGGACGCAGGAGCACACACACACGCGAATGCGACAGGTCACAGTAGGCACTATCCCCGAGGGACCAATACGTTTTGTTCTTCCAATGACGTCACCAAAGGAAAGGAACTATGTTTTACTCATACCAACAAAAATGATCGAATCGAAACGCAGTTTTACTCCTGCGAGTTTTTCTCAGTTTTGTTCGCTGAGGTTTTGTTCTTTCATAAGTTCCGTTCCTTAACGTTTTGTTCCGTGGAATAGTTCCGATGGAACGGAACTATGCAGTATCGCTCCTTTTCGATTAATTTAATTCCGATTTTCCAGCCCTGCAATTAACAACTCCACCCTTCAGTGCTATCTGACAATTATTTCACTAAAAATACTGCACAGAATCGTTTTATACATGGCATTAACACATTTTTCTATTGACAGAGTACTACTAGTGGCAGTGGCTTTCATGCTTATTTCAATTGTCCTACTCGCAATGCACTTGATCGTGCCTCTTTACTTGGATAGTTGGTGGCCCTTCATCCTGTGGATCATAATTGCGATGC